GAGAATCATCCAGCTTTAATCGCCAGTAAGGACCTCCTCGCCACTATGCTGGGCTGTGTTGGGCAACACGAAGAAGCGGAAAAGGCATATCGGGAGGTCCTGGAGTTTGGCGAGAAAGTGCTTGGCAAGGACCATCCGAGCACACTCGACACTGTGCTTAGATTGGCTCGTACTCTAACGTCACTAGGGCAGTATGACAGAGCAGCGTCATTACTCCAAGAACGCATTTTCTCTGAGGAGCTACTTGTACAGGGCGAATACCACCAAGTCATCTACGAACAAGGTCGGGATTATCTGGCGAAGTGGTTGGAAATCATGGACAAGCAACGATCGATTGCTTCTCCAGGACGGCGATCATCTAAAGCAGATTAGGACTATGGGCATACACTTTTTGGTCGATCTGCTGTAGTTCCAAAGGTTGATGAATATAAACAATTCCTTAAAAAGCTTGAATACGTCTGAATGTTTACTGTTCGAGCATACTACTTACTAAGTAGGTACTCGTCTATGTAGCCGAAGCAGGTGGCCGCTTCAGATTTACATCTGGAGTCGTGGACAAAGAAGACGACTGGCAATCCCTGCATCGCCTAGCTCTTCATCTTCTTCCTCTCTTCTTCCTCTTCACAAAGCCACAGACACGCGTCCAAAGCCCGCTTCACCCACACCACACACAGCCTGCGCCATCTGACAGAACCCCAAGCCACCACAAGAGCAAAGTCATCATGACTAATTGTTCAAATGGAAGCGCAAAGCAAAGCAAAGCATAGCAAAGCAAAGCAGAACACACACACACATACACACACGCACATGCGTGTTTTTTCCTTGGCACACGCGACCCTTGACGCAGTCTGGCCATCGATGACGTAGCGCTAGCTATGACGGCAGCGACTCGGCGCTAGTGGCGGGTTTGACGGGACTTCGGCGCGGGACGCTTGTCTAGATTGGGTATGCGGGGTTACCGATCCGGAGGCCGGAGATTAATGTGATTGGCTGACGATGGATTGCCTATCTTTTTCCATTCTTCTTCTTTCATGCCTTGCCGGTGTGGTGAGAGAAAGGTTTGGGTGTTTCCGGCAAAGGCGGACGAGGGTACATGTAGCCATGATAGCATGATGGTATCAATTGAGGAAGCGAAGTGAATACCTGCAGAAGCTCGCGGAAATAAGCCAGGACTGTAATACAAAATTGGCAATGTATACACACTAGAACCGGGCGAAGGCAATGGTCCGCTCTCCGTGCTTTTGTAGTATTGTA